ACGCGGCACACCCCTCCGCTGCCTTGCGGGTCACACTTTGACCAGCCAAAAGCTTACTTGTTTTGGCCTGGACGACCTGGCATTAATCCGTCCACTAGCAAATCATGAACCACTTCCTGTTTTATAAATATTATTGCACCTTGACATTTTGGACAGTCTGGACATGAACAACTGTGAAATATGATAAAGCACTGTGGCACCAGAATGAACTGATCAAGTCCAGTCACGAAAGATATGGTGAATGAATGCTAGCACTTTTAGCGTCTCAGATAAACTCACATCACTAACTGCTTAGGTGTGCTCTCTGAGCCAAATAACAATTGAGAAAATATTAAGTGGTTCAGGACGGACCATGAAAATCGTGACTAGTGAACTGGGTCAGAAATCCGCTGTGTCAATCAGGTGCACTAAATGATACAGCAGACACTTTTTATCTTTTAATTTTCTCTTTTTGTTGAATACAGAGTGATACAATTATCAGGAAGACGACGGCAGCCAATCAGAGGGCTGCCACACAACATACAGAGAGAATGAGGAAAGTCAAGCAGTGGTGGTGGTGGCGGCGGTGGGATTCAAAAACACGTTCTCTGGGCGATAAGCTGCTAACCTTTACCACGTAACAACCACCGATCGCCGATGTAGTCTTCGTGATTCAAACTGTTCTCTTTAAAAAAAAAGGTTTCCTATTTTGCAAAAAGGAGAAAACGATTAGCGTAAACAACAAAGCGTACCCGGCGGCGATATCGCCTTAGTTCTCATAGTGTTATAATTCCATAAGACAGTGCCTGGTCGAGGATAGCTGTTTATTGCAAATTATAGTTGGGATATCAATAATTTGGCATACACATAACAGATATCTCATTTGAAACATTTCATCGCAATTCCCGGCAGCACGCCGGGTAATGAATGGATCAGCCTGTAGTTATTCTTTGGGGCACAGCAATTCGCCCTCAGTGATCCTGCTAATGTTTGACCGTTGAGGGAAACTGCCAAGCGCATTATTTTTCATACTACTCACAAATGTGAGTAGCACCTCACAAAATAGTACTAACAACAACGTGAACCCCGCCCCCCAAGGACCTAAGCAGTGGCTATTTTCATGGTCGCAAAAGGGAATAACACCGATGCACTAATTTGGTAATGACGAGTGTTTAAAATCCATTCGTATCGAATCATTGAAACTATACAGCGTTGCTCATTATTCGGCAAGATACCACAATCGGAACGATGGTCGAGTGGTTTCCCTTATCAAGATCATTGTCATTCCGCAGAGAAACAGAGCGAGACGAACTTCGCTATACGCTCTCCTTGTGTACATATATCAAGCGACTAAGAACCTGCAGCAGATCGATCGCAGGGTCGTTTGGACCCAAGCCCGGAAGACCAGAGTGACGTAATCTGTCTGATCAATTCGCGCAGTTTTTCATGCATTGTTTCCACGTTCTCTTCATACGACCGCACTGAAGCCACAAGTGGCGTACGATACAATAGACGACCACTTGACAATCAGAACACGTGACCGAACAAACAAAGTTTACTCCTGTGCATTCGGTATGGGAATGCGCGTTCTGTTTGGACACTTTCAAACATAGTGCGGTTCACATCAACCTTGACTCATTCCGTTTGCAAACAAACTACTACACCAGCAGTGACGGTCAAAGGCCCACATGCAAGTGAACCCAAGATTACACAGCGATGCATGTCTTATGCCGCCTTTCATTTGGAGTTCGAGGGCTAACAGGATCTACACAGTATACGACACAGGACACCAGACAACACGTTCAGGTGTCGCAAAGAATGAGGTGAGTGCTTCGCCGGAATTAGGTCATTCAATCGACATTATCGATTCCACAATATCACACCTAGGTGTCACCCTGTTGCTTTTCCAGCTTAGAGAACCAATGCATTAGAATTGGGGTGCTACTGTTGTGCTATATTAATAACTCGAAATGGAATCAAATTGAATTGCCAGTAAATTTTACTAATTCCACTTACCATTACCTAAATTTAGTGGAAGATAACTGCGTCGTTCTGGTTCAATATAACGCCTATCGTTATGATGTCTCATACGTACGAGGGTGGGCGTGCAGTCGCATCTTACCCCACGGATACCTCCATCCTCGTTTAAAAAAATGCTATTGTTGATATGTGGATAAATCAGTACATTTTGACAAGACGGGTGTTGAGCTAGGTCGGTTCAATATGTGACGTGCGATGGCCGATAATTTTATGGGGTTACTAGTAGGGCGCGATTTGTGGTTGAACTTGAAGTTACAATGGTTGCAACTGAAGCTGAAATGGTCATATGACTTGTACGCTGATGAGCGATGAGCAATCATTATCGAAAAAATTAGTCTACAACAAAAGTTGATCACTTCATATGGGATCAAAATGATGACGCAAATTATAGGAACGACAAGTCGTGATCACGGTAGTTGTGTTTGTACCACAGAAACTGTCGGTGTTTGTTTGTCCGCCAAGACTCCTCTTTCCCACCACAATTCGACCGAATGCATTTGACCTTTGTCCACTTTTCTATCTAGGTGAATCTTGAATAAACGTGATTATATGGAGGCTTGAGAACGAACTCAAAGAAAACATGTGTACCCGCAGATATTGAGTTCCGCCATTTAATAATGGGTTTATTTTGCAATGTATAACTTAACATAAGCAGTAAAAAGCATACCTAACAAAACTTATCCCATCAACGGGGCTTCCGACTGCTCATGGCTTATTCAAATGTGATTGATAAAAAGGGAGACATCTTTGTATCCTTCTGTCCCAGTCATTTGAAGTGGAAACTACACACGTTATTTCGGTCTTACGGGTAGATACAGTTACTTTCATTTTATATTTCTTAGTTCGCGTACCGTTATCATCAAATTGCAAGAGAGAAGTAGCGAGGCACCTTGTTTATATTCTAACAGGGAACACAACAAAGTTCTTCTGTATCAATCATGGGTTCAGTGGGGGGGAAGGACAGAGAAGAATTGTCATCACATTCTGAAACGTGACCAGATGCACTGAATTTCACTTTACATAACTGTGTCACATGTGAGTTGACGCTGACGACTTCGCAGAGAACGCTTAGATCACTGACTGAGTAAGGTCACTCCGATCACGTGACACTTAGATGGATAATCCATACGACTGTCCGCTTGAACCACATTATAGGTCGAAACAAACAATTACACAAAGAACGTTGACAACACACACCACTTTTATTTGTTTTTGCTTTGTCTGTTTTTCCTACCACAAAAAGCCTAAATATCACTTGGCTACTTGAAATGTCAAGTTTAAATACTGCATAACCCTAAATTTCTATCAAAATCTGGTTTGGATAGTTGAGTCGGGTGTGTAGCTGAGATTATCCATTTTATTGGGCAACGAATAATTCACACAGTGAGATAGTTTTCCGAAATGCAATATTCAGTATCTATGTTGTGTATCATGTTAAGCTTCGATGCGTTACGTGATTCTCCATACAAAATCCGACAGTTTGGATGATCGGTTTCTGTAAATAAATGATGAATTCCGATGGACGATTTATCGTTTGCAAGGCTCATCATGTAATGGTTTGCAATATATTGTAATAATAATAATAATAATAATAATAATAATAACAGATCAAGCAAAAGATCTCATTGACTCCAAAACAACGACATATCGGAATGGTGTGTGAGACTTCATGCTAATGTTGGGTGACTGAGAAATTACCTACCTCCACCCTCAAAAGAGCAGGACAGGGATTCTTCGATGAGTTTACGCAAATGATTCATATGAACTTCACGAACCGAAGCAGCCAATGGACCCCAGATACCCCATGGAGCCCAACGACGACGTGGCGGACCCGCGGAAGGATCTGCATCTGCGGATGTATCAGGCGAATCGGTTCTTGGTGGTCCAATATACTCCGATTCTCCGGTCGGAATTGCTTCCGGTTTGGACCATAATCGCTCGAACAGCTCGTACGAGGTGAACGGAGCGGAGGTTCCTTCAATCGCGCGCAAATCGGACAATACCTGTTCACACAGCTCCGGTGGTAGCATGCCAGCCACAACATAGTCCGAGTGAAGCAGATTGATTGCATGCGCACATGCATGTCCGCCATGTCCATCGACTACGGTGAAAACGGTTCCGCCATAATGCGATCCTTCGGGCGGACAAGTGAGTTTGCTACAGTAAAGGGTATTCTGGCCTGTGTGACCGAACTGATAGGCGGTCCAACGGTCTTCTACCGGTCGATTTACACCAACCTGGTTGTGGGTGTTTGATAATCAAGAGAAATAGAACACTATTGCATACATTTCTATCACGAGGTGCATGAGTGGTGTTGTTATTATCAAAAACGTTGACCGTGGTAACACCTCTGAAAATTATTTTACATTTAGTCCATCATCACATTGGTCAACAATGGGATTTCAAAATCACAGAATTATTCATTGGAAAAACAGTATGGACAGGGGTGAATAAAAACATCTAATCTGAAACAGTTAGTTATCAGTTTCGTTTAAGTCTCTTCCTCATTGTTCTCCAGCTTGGCGGTCTCTTTGTCTCTTCCGCTGTTACAATAATAAGCCTTCAAGTTCACTCTCAAATGCTGTGAAAATCAACTAAAAGCCTCTTTGCGCGTGCGTACCGAAGACATTACTCACAAATTTCAACCGTACCTCGCAACAGTAGCAGTAGCTTGTAGCCCGCCTACTAACATGCGGCATACTGTAATGACTAGAATATGCATAGCCATCATCAACCTGAGGACACCTCGATCCGATAACGAAAACGAGGCAAGAATAACAGGGTGTATCTCAATTGCATTCATCGATTTCCATATCTCTCGCCCTTTTATACCTATCCAATCACTGCTATATCTACTTTCATTTCGAAGGAAATAATCATTTTTTGTGTACTAAGCCAATCTAAAAAATCGATTCACTTCCCTGGCTTAGAGTCTCTTCCGTAGGGCAGTTAAACGAACGACACCCTGGATCCTTCTGACTTTAATTGGACATTCGATTACAAACGTCACGTTTTTTCGTTCTCTGAACACCAAACAGTTCAGGTAACTGAACCGC